GAATTGAAACCGTTTTTCTGCGGAAGTTGTTCCCAGCCAAATGTAATTTTTTTCAAAAGCAATTTAGATTTCAATTAATTGCCTTTCTCCCAGTTTTTAAGGAACACACTACAAACGGAAGAAGAAAACCGGACTTACAACTTTTCTCCTCCATGTCCCTTTCCGTGCACTGGGGTGGGTCTTACGAAGCAGAGTCCGGTTTTACTTCAGAGTGAGCTCCTGCTTTGTGCCAAGGCTGCTCCTTCAGGTGGAGGGGTTATTGGTGGATGTGCAAAGAGCTGGAAGCCCTCCTGCTTCCCCAGTCCCAGCTTTGGAGGTGCTGTGTTTGGGAGGCTCCTCTGGGCATGCCAAGCTGGGTGCGGTGGGACGTGCCTTGGGTCCAGAGCTGCAGAGCAAAGACACAGTGCCCAAGGAGTAGATTTTTCTCTCCCCATAGGCTATAACTGAATGTCTTATGGTTTAGATGGTTTATGTGAAGCCATATCTCTCTATTGAGAAAATGTTCTCTGGAGCATCTGCTGACAAGTGCCAGATTTTAAATAATCTCTCACACTGTAGTCAGAGAACATTAAATAGGGATGGAACAAAATAATCAATCAAGAAACAAGATGCTGCTTCTGGTTTAGATGGGAATCTTGTCTGCCAAGAAAGCAAGAGAGTGTTTTTTAAATCAGGCTCAATCTAGATGCATAGCCTGGAAGCACAGCATCAAAATGTCATGTTACACAGACTCACAGAATGGTTGGGGTTGGAAGGGACCGCTGAAAATCATCTCACCCACCCCCCCTGCCAAGGCAGGGTCCCCTACCGCAAGTTGCACAGGATCGCTTCCAGGTGGGTTTTGAGTATCTGCAGAGGAGACTCCACAACCTCTCTGGGCAGCCTGTGCCGGTGCTCGGCCACCCTCACAGTACAGAAGTTTTTGTTCATATTCAGACGGAACTTCCTGAGTTTCGGTTTGTGCCCGTTGCCCCTTAGCCTGTCGCTGGGCACCACTGAAAAGAGTCTGGCCCCATCCTCTTGACACCCACCCTTGAGGTATTGATAAGCATTGATGAGATCCCCTCTCGGTCTTCTCTTCTCCAGGCTGAACAGACCCCGTTCCCTCAACCTTTAATTTATCATCCCCTGGCTGTTGGCCGTGTTGGCGGAGAGGGTTGGGAGGGACGGTCAGGAGGCCTGTTTGAGTTTTTGTAAAGTTTAATTGGTAACATGATATTAGAGAGCACGGGCTTCAGAGTTGGAGGGTAAGGTTGTGTTAGTTGAGTGGAAAGTTGGTTTTGGTCTGCGTGGGTGCTTGCAGGTTGACTGAGCCTTGGGGGACAGATGCCGGGGAGACCTTGCTGGCTCTGACTGCAGGTGGTCTGTGGTGGAGACGCGGTCACGGCAACATGAGTCACCATCACTGGTATTACAACTTCAAGTCCGTTCAGATGCTCTCAGGATGGTGAGGACTTCAAAGTTAAGGTTCCAGGCACAGGGGTATTTTTTGAACATCGTCATGGATGTCGTGAATTGAGTTGCTTTGTTTTAGCAGCATAAGACTTTTGTGTTACAGCCCAGGGGTGTTTCTTTATATATTGAGCCATTTAAATTAGAGTTGCATAAAGTATATTGTGCTTTTATTAAAATGCCTTGTTAATAGCCTCTTAATAGAAAATTCTGAAGCGTTTTTCAGATTTTTTTTCTAGAAGAAAATCTCTCGAAATAAAGTCTCTCTTCTTTAAGAACCCCAGACCTCCTCTGCTGAAGAACCTTGCTTTGTTTCAGATATGGTGTGTGATTTTTGTACTTCAGTTGTACCTACTGTTTAAGGTAACATTTGTCATGAAACAAAATGAAACTTTCGGAATTTTCCAATCCAGTTAATTATAGACATGTTTAAAAGCATGCTTAGATGTTTATCTAATAGTGATTATTAGTAGTCAGTAGTAATTTTAACTCTTTCGTTCTAAAAGAAATTAAAACCTTAATGCTGAAATTTCCTATGGCACAAGAACTTAGTTTGCTGTACTACAGTGTTTTGGAAGCAGTAAAACAGTAATGGCAGTGTGACAGCAGTGGATCGCTCTGGTCTGTGAACCTCTCCCGCACCCAGGTTTTTGTTAAGCATGCTCCTCCCGTCTCCATCACGTAACTGGTCAAGGAGGGGAGAACTGTTTGGTAACTGCAGAGTAAAATCTGAAGGAATAAAAACCCTTTGTCCAACCAATTACTCTTTTACTTTCCTACGCGATACAGAGAACAAGGAGAGTGAAGTCAGAGTAACCTTGCCAAAAGGCGCTGGTTCCCAGGCTGGCTCCCTGCCCCGCTGTAGAGGTGTGTGCCTTGGCCAGCGCCGGGCTGGGAGAGGCTGCAACCTGCAACCCCTGGTGCGAACGGGCAGGAATTTCTGGAAAAGCAACCGGTGCTGGGAATAGGAGTGCCAACTACCTTCTCGTGACAGATTTACAAAAAATAGGTTCTTAATCATCCTAGTCTGATGGATATTTTGCTCAACGTTTACAGGTCTGGTAAATTCTGAATATTCTGCTTTGCGTGTTTGCATAGCAAGGAGATGCTGAACTTCAGCTCCCAGAGAGCATGGATATTGGGGAGAAGTGTCTAATCCCAAGTTAATACTTTGTATTACCAGTCAAGCGTTTGGGGGAGAACCATCTCCCAAGATACCTTTCTTTTTCTGATTTATTGAATGAAAAGCCTAAAGAACAGCTATTGCGTTGATCAGAAATACTTTGATTTTGGTAATCCTCAGATTTCTGGGGATCAATTACTCTTGCTTAGTGGAGCCTTGTGGTAAACTTGGGATATTCTGGAAAGGCTTCGAATTAATTTCGGTGAAGTTGCGGTGTTAGTGCTGTGGCCTTCCCGTGCCCAGGGCAGACCGAAGGCAGCGCAAGGCGGAGCGGCACTGTCAGATCAGGGCTGTTTTTCTCTAGATTGATTAAACCTTTATCGTCAGAAGATGAATTTCTCTACAGCTTGTCCCGCCTCTCTGGGTGGCTCTGTATCTGTCAAAGGTATAAATCTCATACAATGAAACTGCTCAGTACGCAGCCAGCTTTTTCTTATCCTTAAAGCTGTTGAAATGAAGGATAATCAAAATGGGCTTAGTTTGCTGTTTTAGTCAAAGCAGGTCAGTACTTGCTAATTTAAATGCTCAGAAAGGTAGGTTTTGTTCTGATGGAAATTAAGGTCTTGTACTGAAACAAGCAGTAGTTTTTATGAATGGGCTATGGCCCAGGGTCTCCTGCTCTGATACTGCAGTAATTAGTCTCAGCACAGAGATCCGAATGGAATGGCTGTTCATCCGTGCTAAGGATTAACAAGATGTTGGAAAAAAGAGAATGCTTAAACTACATTGACAACAAGGTAAGAGAGGATATAAACTAGATGGTGTTTCATACGATTCCAGTTTTCTCATCATCAGGGCGTTTCATACATATGAATAAATACTTTGTGGGTCTGTTTCTTCCATAGGTCCCCTTTCCTTATCCTGTAGAGCTTCATAGCAAATACTAACAAAGTAAATAGAGTAATGGGAGCATTAGGTTTAGGGTAATACAACACTCCTCTTGAACTTGAAATAATAAAAAAAAACTTGCTGGGGAAGCGGTCAGGTTGGAGAAGGGATGGGTAAAGGCTTGGCCGGGCTGGGAAGTGATTTTATGACGGTGTTCTGCTGGAGGTGGGTGGCCGTGGCGTGGTGCTGGCAGGAGGCTGTGCTGGCGGGCGGTGTGCCCTGCTGCCGACGGAGGGTGAACGTTTCCTTCGGTGGGAGCCCGAGCGACTCTGAACACAGGCGCTCGCTTGCATTGGCCAACCGGGAAAAGACCAAAGTAGGAAAAAAATGCTGAAAAGCCATCCCTCCTTTCTGTCTGGCTTTCCCTCCCGAATATGTTGTGTCACTTGACTCAGCAGTTTGGGAAAAGTCAGGAACTGTCATGTGGGGTCATGAAAACACCACGAAAATCGTTTCTGTGGCATGCACTGTGGGGCAGCCCAGGTAAATAGGATAAATGTTTTCCTCTTTCTGCACATTTGCATTGCTCTCCAAGATGTCTATTTGCTTTACAAGTGCTTAATGAGGTAGGCTTTGCTGCTCTTGTTCCCTGCAATGTATAGAGAAGAGCCTACACTTGCTGTCGAGGCGTGCGAGCTGTCTGCGGCTTTATGGGGACGTTGGTCCCTCTCGGGTGGCTCCCTGGGCTGCGGGAGATGCCCCGGCTCGCGGGCACCGCAGGAGCTTATGGAGGCAGAGAGCTGAGCCCAGGCGGTGGGCTTGCCATCTGCTTATCTGTCTTCATTTAGGATCGGCAGTGTTTGGTGAGGGGGTGGGTTTGGTGGTGTGCTTCACGGAACAAGGCAGCTGTGGGTTTATCTGGTTATACTAGAGAGTAAACTGTGTTTGAGTGCTCTCCTTTTATTAACAGTCACCCTAGAATAATTGCTTGCTCTGCTTTTTAATTAGTTCTCTTGGGGGAAAAGATATTTCCTTCAGGATAGAAATACACAGCCCTGAAAATACTGGTCAGGGCTTGAGCCCTGACAACGGTTCTTGCTGTGTCTGAGTTTCCTTTTCACTCCTATTTCTGCACTACCCATTCTTCTTCAAACTCAGAATAAAATACTTAGAGCAGAAAGATTTAGCCCTAGGTTTCATACGTATGTTCATTATAGGTCTTATTGTCATCCTCAGAACAAAAATAATGTTTTTGTCCCAAACTCTTATCACTCTAAGCTTCAATTTTATTTATTTAGAAAACTGAAAGTGGAAATTGTATTATCTCCTGGCACCTGAACTGAAATGGAGGGTTTCACTGCTGCTTTGCATTAGCATTTTTCAAAATACACAAACATAACTTTCAACCCTGAGCGCAGATAGCAGCGTTTCAATGAACAAAAATAGAAATGAGGCCAAAACAAGCAGAAGGGGGGGTTTGTTATCATTAAATCGGTTTTTTTCCTCCTCTTTACATAGGTTCCTAAAAATTAGCACTATGACTGATGGAGACTATGATTATCTGATCAAACTCCTGGCCCTTGGAGACTCTGGGGTTGGAAAAACAACGTTCCTGTACAGATACACGGACAACAAGTTTAATCCAAAATTCATCACGACAGTAGGGATAGATTTTCGGGAAAAACGAGTGGTAAGTTGTCTCATACAAACGCTGCTACCTTCTTTTTTCTTTATTAATTTCTGCTACGAACAAATTTTCTGTAAATGTGTACTGCCTCTCTTACTGTGGGGTATTGCATGTGTTGCTAATGCTTTTCATTCTCTAGTTTTTGGCTTAAACAAGTTGTCATCATCAGGAACTGGATAAAGGGGGAAAAAATGCCATTATCCTTATCCCAGTGTTGGGTTGCGAAGTGGTTTATTGCACATTGGTATAAAAGGATCTTTCCAACAGCAGGTTTCCATAGTGCTGGTGAATGAGGTGTGTTTGTGACTAGAAGTAACTCTGACCCTCAAATTCATCATTTAAATGGAAGGGATGGAAAGTTACAGAAGCGCAGAGGTTTCAGCTTACTTCCAGGTCAGACAGTGAACTGGGGGAGGCACAAGAAGCAGTTCCACCAGCTGGACCACGCTGCTCCTCTGAGTCTCTGCCAGCAGCAAGGCTGGAGGTACTGAGCCTGTAATCAGGAGTCCTCATAGGTTAGGATCAATGTGCTGCTTATTGCAAGGTGTGCAAGCCTGCTCTGCTGTGCTTTTGTTTCTTGATGGTAAGTAGAAGATGAGAGTCTTCAGCAGTGTCAGTCAGATGCTTTTTGTGGCTATGAGAGTGCAGTCACTTTGTTTTAATTTAATGTGACTGATGTATCTGTTCATAGACCCTGACAATTGATACAGGCTAAATATAGGGGACAAATTCAGTTTTCGAATCAGAATCCTTCTAGCTTGCTTGATCAGTAAAACAATAATAAATACAAGATATTAGACCCCAGACAATTATTGTAGTCATTTTGTTAATATAAAGAAATGCAAATACTTGCCCAGTTCAAAGATGGCACCTCCTTACATTTGCTTCTTTTTAACTTAAATGAAATACTTCAAGAGCTTTTCATGAAATATCCTTGGAAGTGTTGACAATGCAGAGATGAGTAAGCTGGCAGAAGAACCGCTGCCTGTGGAGAGCTTTTCAGCCTGGAGAGGAGAGCACCTGATGAGCTCTTCCTTGTATCCAAGAACTTAAGCGCTGACAAAACTTTACACTATTCACTTTCAACAAAACTAAGTGCTTCTCAGCCCTTCATCGGGTTAATGTAAGAACTAAAAATCATTTACAATATTTATTATTAATTATTATAAAAACATTTCCCAGTTTTGAAGCAGTTGAATGAAAACACGTGCCTTGGCAATACAAAGCAAGTTGTTCACGAGTTGTCATTCCACACACTTTTAAGCTCCTGTTTTTTCGCTAGAATACCGTGAAAAGATGGGCATCACTCCCCCATGCACCTTTATCTTCCCTGGCAACTTTTTCATCACTGCCAGTATTTGTGGCTGCTCCTGTGAGTTCAGTTTTGCCATGGTGATGGGGATGTGCAGGCCCTGCCTGGGAGCTGCGGCTTCAGGAGTCCCATGAATAAAAGAACCGTGGATCTGGATTATGTCTTAAATTAGCCATAATGAGCGCTATGCAAGTTCAGGCCAGTTAAATGGAGGCCAGGCCAGGTTCAGGTTGCAGTGGAACCTGACTCCTTCTCTGCTCTGTGAGATTGCAGTCATCTAATAAGAGTAAAACATTAAAAACACAGTTTTATGGCAAGAAAGTGTCTGAACATGCAGATTACCAGAATTCTCTTTCCCAGGCTGGTGAGATGCTCATTAACGTGTTTTGAACATGGGCACTGGATTCCTTCCGGAGGGTTGAACTTTCTGCTAAAGGTTACAGACAGATTTCTTCCATAATTTTCCATTACTGTACATTTTGGGGTAAGATAGTTTGTAAGTGTGGGAGAAATTTCACCTTACGTGAAATTACCAGCTTTGAAATATCTTGAAGGTCTATCTACTAAATTTCTAAGACAGACACACAGAAAGTTAAATTCTTGTTTTTCTGTTGTGTAAAAGTCATGTTAAAAAGTAACCCTGTGAGATTCTTTGTTTATCACGCTAAATATTACAGGAACATGCTCCAGAAAACCAGTTTCATTCACAAACGTGGTGCGGTTGATCAGTTGATTCTTTTCTGGTGTTCACATCAGGCACCTGCCACAAAAGAAAGGCAGGCACGTTGCAGTCAGAAGCTACCTGTTGAAATGACAACAGTTTAAATAAGTCCACAGGATCAACGAATAGTCTAGGCTGGAATGGACCTTCAGAGGTCATCTCGTCCAAACCCCAGTTGATACTAACGTGGTTGTGCAGGAGAGCTGAACGCTGTGTTTTACAGCCCAGGGAGGGTGGGTGAGGACGTGTTTGGCTTCCCCAGGTAAGGTCAGTGCAGCCTCTGGATACAGACATGTCCACAAAGTCCATATTCTCTTGATCTAAATGCAAGGGCAACATTTGCCTGCTTTTAAAATTGCTGAAATTCTGCTAAACTACCTCAGACAACAAAACCAGCATGTACTTATTTTATCCCTCTGTCTTTTACTGCAACAGCTAATTTACACACTGTTGCTATTTAATAAAGAATTGAGCTCCAGTGAAGGTTGCAGTGATTTCTTTAAGCACCATGAGTTTGCAGTTGCAGTTAGTAAGGAAGTCATTAACGTCCGACAGAAGTTAATGAATAAAAAATAGCTTTTTATAATAGTGGTTAATCCTGTCAGCCAGCTGTAAATTTTCTAAGAACAGCAATGAAAGAGAACACAGACAGCTTCCTCAGCGCAGCGCTATGCCAAGTTTTAAAGAATTGGTATCTAATTTGAAGTACTAAATACGACCAAATTATCTTTAAAGTGCAGCTTTCATAGATGTTTCATGTGGCTCCTGGGTTTTTAAAGATTATTATAAGCAGCCCTCTGAAGTGGCTTTTAGAGGTAAGAGTCAGCTCTTACTGAAGGTTTGAACTTTTACTCCTTACTTATTACTTGCACAAAATATAACAACCTGTGACCCAAGCGATGGATTTCAGTGTGAGCTGTATGGCTGTACTGATTTGACTCTCTCATCAGGTATACAACAGCAGAGGACCAAATGGATCTCCAGGAAAAGCTTTCAAAGTACATCTCCAGCTTTGGGACACAGCCGGTCAGGAAAGGTAACAGAGTTCAGCTCATTGGAAAGCAATTCTGAGGTTTTCGCATTTTTGGGTAAACCGTTAGTCCATTCAGGTGAAAAAATCTCAAAAATCCTCATCTTTTAGAACAAGAAAAATGTCTTCCAGAAATAAAGTTTTTCTGACGCTGCTTTGATGCAGCGATCAGAGAATCTCAGAAAATAGGACTGGAAGAGCTGAAGTGATCTGCTCCCTGCCTCAGCAGCATGTTGCCTCGTTGCTCGCACATGTGGGTTATTGGGTTATCGGTTAGCTCTTTTGGTTTGTTTTGTACTGTTTTTTGGCTTCGTAATATGGTCTTCATCTCCTCTGGAAGATACAATATAATCTACCTAACTGTCCTGTTCTCATATTTCAGATCTTTTCCGCTAGGTTGGATGGTAAGGTGTACTTGATAAAGGTGCTGATATGGGACTGAATTAGTATACATGTAACGGTCAGGCTGAGGGAAGTGATTATTCCCCTCTTATGCAGCACTTTTGAGGCCACATCTGGAGTACTCTTTCCATTTGTGGGATGCTTTGTACTGATAAACTGAAGTCCCGTGGAATACCATTAGAACAGGTCAGGAGGCAGAGGCATACGATGATCCGGTGAGGCCTGAGGAGGCTAAGCCTGTTCAGCCTTGAAGATGGGAAGACTAATGGGAGGCTAATTGCTGTCTTCATCTACCCAGTGGGGAGGAGACAGAGCCAGACCCTTCTGAGGCTCACAGCTGAAGGGCAAGAGGCGGTGGTCACAAGTAGCAGCAAGGATATTCCAGTTAGGTAGAAGGACACAAGTGTTGACCATGGGAGTGGTTAAGCCCTGGAGCAGGTCGCTCTCGGAGGCTGTGCAGTCTGTGTCCTCCCAGGTGTTCACAACTCAGGTGGACAAGGTCCTAAGCAGCCTGATGCCTTCCTTAAGTCCTGTCCAGTTTATGTGCCCTGGGCTTGCTCAGATTTTTTTATGATGAGCAAACTTTCTGTTCTGTACTGCCCCAGGCTGGTTTCAGCCTCTCTCACCACGAGCATGCAAGTGAGCTGGAGAATTCTAGTTCAAGTCTTACCAGTGCTGAGTAGTATGGAAGAATTGCTTCTTATCTTACTTTTATGGTTTTGGTTGTGTTTGTCTTCTTTGCAGCAGCGTACTGTGGTTGACGTGTATTAAGCTCATGACTGACCAGAATCCTCCTTTGCAGAAGGATTCTTTTATCTAACCAGTTATTCCCCATCTTCTGCATGCACAGTTGTTTGTTCTTCCCAAAGTCCTTCTTGACTTGTCACTATTAAATTTGATCCTGTCATTTTTTTTAAAGGGAGAAGTGTGCGTATTGCTTTCTCAAGCTTCCCCTGGCTAGTTATGTACGCTGGTTTTCACTACCATAAAGTGTGTGAGGTTGCCCTCAGTATAACTTCCAATGTCATCTGTCAACAAGGGAAGAAAATGCGACTCACACCTATTTGCTGTGTAATAGCGTCTGAAGAGCAGCAGCCTGAAGCGTTTGCCCGGTGGGGAGGAAGGAAAGTAGTGATGAGGCAGATCTCAGCTTTTCAGAGTAAGCAGTGCAAATACTGTGTAGGAGGGGTTGCTGCCTGATGAAAAGCAGAAGAAGGCAATTTTGTGTCTGCCTCTCTTTCCGTTACTTTCAGACACCATTTGTGTATACCCCTCTGCAAGAGATTAAACGTTTTGAGACTACTTTTTTTTCTTTTTCTGAAGGAAACCTTAAAGGTAGTGTCATTCCATAATATCAGTTACTGTTTCTGGTACTGCTGGTTTGTGCAAGATCATACAGTGCTGTTTTGTGATGTGATAGGTCCCTGTGATATATAAAACACCAGAACGCCCTTGCAAAGTTTGCCAGCGCTGTCTGAATGTTTTAATATTGTTTGGACTTTCTTCGTGTTTCTGATTTGAACAGGCTTGTGACCTTTTGGTGACAGACAGAGTTGCATTTCATGGCCTATAGTTTCATCCAGCTCCGTAGCTTTGCAGGAAGCCTGTAAACAGTATCGCTTGTGAGCGCACGCTTACGCAGATCTGCTTACGGAGTGCATGTGTGTCTAGAGCTCTGCCAAGAAAGGTTACCTTTTCCTTTTAGCTGAGCTTCCCAGCAGATGCAATCACATCGAACAATCAAAGGCATGTAAACAGCCACCTACTCTTCCTTTGTTTTCTTTAATACTGACTATATTGAGTAGTGCACGTCCATCAACTAAGTGTGTGTAATGCTGGCAGGTGAATCCATTTCGATCACTGTGATTTGTGATACGTTAAATGCTTAGGTATCTTTATTTTTTCTTTTAACCAACCCTTCTCTCTCTGTCTCGCGCTCAGTTAAATCAGGCAGAATTTGAACTAATAGATTAGTCACTGACAATGTTTATATTCTCACATATAAGCTTCCTCTGGTAAATTACTAACACACTGATGAATAAATGTTGACTGCTGTGATACATCATAGCAAAAATGAAAGTCAAGGTTTATTTTATTTTGGTTTTACTTCCAAGGGAATGTATGTCCACTAAATCTTGCAGACTCTTCAGATTTCAAGGTGTTTTTAAATAGAATTTTTGCACAAGCAATTCCGAAAAGCTTTATCTCTTTTTCCTTTACTCTGTTCAGACTTGCCAGAAAAGTGCTTACCTTAGAGATCACTTTGTATTAATAGAGCTATGTTGTCTTTTTTTTCTTCCACCTTCAGATTTCGAAGTCTCACCACAGCGTTTTTCAGAGATGCTATGGGCTTTTTACTAATGTTTGATCTCACCAGTCAACAGAGCTTCTTAAATGTCAGAAATTGGATGAGTAAGTAGAACTGAAGAGCTCGCATTTATCGGTTGACTTGAAGCTTTCTTGTGTATTTTAGGCTTCCAGGCTTTATGCGTGTCATTGTTTGTGAGCTGGAAAATGCTCAAAGAAAGTAGTTATGTCTAGTCCAGCTGTAGGTGGGGTACTTGCAGCCTGTAATTTGGAGTGAAAGCTTCATCAAATTGGAAAGATACATGCTCTTCTTTTTTTTGCACAATAGACTGTTTTGGGCATATCCTTGATAATCTTGTTTGGATTTGGTACAATTTGAATAAATCTGTTGCCTCTTGAAAATTTATGGCATTCGGCACTTCCTTGGCCATATCCCATATTTTAGATGATGTACAGGAACTTGGAAACTGTACTTTGGATATCGCTGTTATCTTCATGGTGAGTTTTCTATTTGTAAAGCAGAATGTGATTCCTTCCTGTCTGCTTTGAGGTTTAAATTAAGATTGGGCTTTGAGAATTTGGTTGGAAAGCGCATATTGTTTGCTGTTGTTGGTTTTCCTTCAGACTAGACTGAAAGTGAAACAAAGGTTAAATTCTAAAAGTTTATTTTTAATTGAGGGTATTGAGAGTGCTGGAAGGACAGAGGCCAGTACATTTCCAACTGGCAGTTTTCCAGCAAACAAACTGCAGTGGGGATAACATGAGAATCCAGATAGCTTTGTGAAAACAGCTCCGTCTTCTTCAGAGATTCCTTCCTCCCACCAAAAAATCCCTGTCATCACAATCTTTCACTGCTTAGCAAACTGAATCTCTAATTTCTTCTGTGTATACTGCACCTTTTCAAGTCAGTCCCCTCAGGATTGAGGCAAGAATAGGTAAATGGCTTTGTACGGTTACTTACGAGGGGTGAGGCTGTGGACAGTACTTGTTCGTGGATCTTCAAATGGATAAAATGGCATTTAAACCATTGAGTATATCCAAGAGAAAAACACACTTGAGGATTTTGCCCTAAGCTTCTGAAGAGCTCCGTTTGCAGATAACATGGGGTGGTGTTTGTACTTCCACAGTGTCCTTATGAGTCTTGTAGAATAGAAGTTCTGGCTGGTGGAGGTTCGCCTCTGCTAAAGCACTGTGTTTAGTGCACCTCACTGCAGTTAAGCCTTCTTGTATGTTGGTAAAATAAACACTGAAAGTAATTTTCTAGTACCATTTCTACTTCCTATTCCTTCTACATTCCCCTTAGCAAGTAAATGTACAAGGAAAGTGGTTGGCATGAAATGGTTGGCTGGTTAGTCTAGGATATTTTGAGGTGGGGAGCGAGAAAGGTATTTGGAATTATTTTGTCAACATTCTTGGTCTCTAAGGCACTTCCAGCATTCTCTTAACTCCTGTTTGTTTTTGCTTCTAGGTCAGCTGCAAGCCAATGCATATTGTGAGAATCCAGATATAGTCTTAATTGGTAATAAAGCTGATCTATCAGACCAAAGGGAGGTAAACGAAAGGCAAGCAAAAGATCTGGCAGACAAATATGGGTAAGCAGATTACAGCAGAAGCTGAATTTAGTCTCTAACTCTTGTAAGTGTAGCTGCTGACTGGCTAGAGATACTTGCAAATATACTTTTAAACTCTTAAGACTTGTAGGCATTGCAGGATCACATACACCTATAGCGATATCCAACTTATCACACTTTCAGATCGACCTGTTTGAATAGGAAGTAGAATGAAACACACCGTTCTGGTAGTTTGGCCAAAGTATTACAACATCAAAAATAAGGCTGAAATGAAACATTCTTACTGGAAAGCTACATTCTTGGGATGTTGGCTTGTCCTGAGAGTTCAGGACAGAGTATACCAAAGGCAGATGAACACTCAGTGTCATGAACTAATTAACTACCAAGATTTATAACTTCTTTTCTAGTTAGTTTGGAAGTGGAGACACCTGTGGTTTTTGGTCGGGTTCTAAGCGTACAGTGGCACTGAATTTATTTGGTTTTCCCTGATAGATAATAAAGCCATTAATGGCCTTTTTCTTGTTCTAGTGAGCCTTCTACATTTCTTTGCACTAATACCAACTGCAGAGTGTCTTGTAACTGGATACATAGGCTGTGTAATATAGTTAGTAAGTAGTGCTGTGGGCAAAAAGTGTGTATTTTATTCCTTAGTTGCCCTTGCTGCTCAGTGAGTGAAGTTCAGAGAGAGTTGGGCCAGCAGCAGAAGATGGCCTGAGACACTGTGAGGAGTGATAAGCAAAATAGACTTAAAAATCTTAAAAGAATATTAGAGTTGTCTGCAGCCAAGTAAGGAGAACAGTGATACTGAGGAGAAGTTAGCTCATGCCAGATTTCATATGATGGAAGTGCTGAAGCAATTTTATAATCTTCTTGTCTGAAAAAGATGAGTTGGAAGGCGATATTCTGGATTCAAAGGGGTTTTCAGAATGGACACAGCCAAGTTCACTTCTGCTTGTAAGTAGGAAGGAAGGGAGGGAGATAGTACTTAGCAGAGACTGCTGAATAGCAATAGTTGTAACTATTTGCCTGGAGAAAAAAAAAAAAAGAAAAAAGTTTCTTGCATGTTCTGTGGTCCCTGAAATTTTCTGTAATGCAGACCTAGGTTTCTCTTTAAAATAGACTTTCTGGTTACCTGGAAGACTTTTCCAGCCAAGGTTTTTGCTGATGTTATCACAACTTGATGTGAAAGTGCCAGTGGATATTTTGTAAATTAATGTGGTGGTTCTGTGCTCATGTCATCATGCCGGTGTGTGCTAGAACGGGAGTTTGGGTTCTGCCCAGTAAGGAAATAGAGTCGTGACAAACCAGAAGTCTGTCCCATTCACGTCATTGCCGCTAAACCCACAATTGGTAGCTGGACTGAGAGCGTTACAAAAAGTTGAGTCTTGGTTGTCTCTCTCCAGCAAAACCTTTTCCTTTTCACCGTAGCATACCCTACTTCGAAACAAGTGCTGCTACTGGACAGAATGTGGAGAAGGCTGTGGACACGCTTCTGGACTTGATAATGAAGCGTATGGAGCAGTGCGTGGACAAGACGCAGGTCGCCGACACAGCCAACGGAGGAAGCTCGGGAAAGCTAGATTCGACAAAACCGGAGGAGAAAAAATGTGCCTGCTAAACGTCACCTGTAAACTGTGAGAGTCAATGAAAATATTTCATCAGAATATGGCTGACCTACCACCAAATTCAAACCGGCTCTGTTGAGCCATGCACAGAAGCAAAGTTACATTGTTTTATTGGGATTGTGCATTTTTCTCCAAAGAACTGGTTTAAAACTAAAAGCTGTGTCTCAGTGAGGCTCTTGTGCTGAAATGATTCTTCCTGATATGGTGCCAACTTTGTGGAAAACTCTCCCACCTCTCTTCCCCACTCCTTTTCCCCCAGCCCTCATCTTTATTTTTCATGTGATCAGGATACTGAATAGAGGACAGTAGCTTTATTTTTTTAAAAAGGAGGGAAAGAACCTATTGTCTGTGTACACTGGATACTGAAATTAAAATGGAGGTGGGTGGTTTTCTAGGTCTGTGCCATTTTTCCACAGAATCCTGTTTCTTTATAATTCTTAATCTGCATCAGGGACCGTGTGTTTTGTAAGGCAAAGATACAAAAGATTTTATGTGGCCTATTAAGAAAAACTTTATCATTTGCACAGAGTAAGCAATGCTGTGAATCTGTTCTGACTGAATCATTGAGATGGTGGTTGGGGGGGTGGGTTCTGTGTGTGTGTTTTGGGTTTGGGAGGAGGAAATAGGGCATTGAATTTGGGAAAAAAAAACTATCAGGGAATTGTGCAGCATTGCTTGTGTTGCCAATAATCCAAGCAGGGATTGGAGCGTTCTAGGAAAAAGTATGGAGAGGGATTCTGACACTGCAGGGACAGTTTATAAAGAAACAAGTATAATGCATGGGAACAGAGATAAACTATATTTTATGAAACAACTTCTTGCCATTAGCAAAAAATATTCTCCCCTCCTCAACCTAAGGAAACCATCCTTTTTCTTCTTTTGCTCTGGGTAACTGCATTATCGCAGGTAGGATGTAGGAAAACACTTGTGGCTGTTTGCACTGCCTAGAAGGGAACCGTAAACCCTGCTGTGCTGAGAGCACCTCGAAGTTATCGCTATGCCTTTGTCGGGTCCTCCGTACGCTTAGGTTTTCAACAGAGGACAGCTTTCTCATACTCTTAAATTCTCTGAGAGAGGGCAAAGTGGAAAAAATGTGATGTAGGGACTGGAATGACGGTAGTCCAGAATACGTGACCGACTAGGCAGAAGTGTGTTGCAGAAGTTTGCAGGTATCTCGGCACAGAGGGTAGAAATTGCTCTGTTAGTGTGCTGCAGTGGAAGGGTGCAACGCAAAAGATTTTTTTCTATGGGTGAAAGCAAGTTCTAATGAAATAGCAAATTGCTTATCACATGCGAAGACAAATACAGGAAAAAATAAAGGAAAATACTATATTTATAAGTATAGATCATTTTCTAAACCAAGTTACAGCATACTTATTAGTCTACCCTGTCCTTTTTTGTAGAATAACTGTTCTGTTTTTATACAGGTGGTAGTTAAAGGTCTATTTGTGTTCGTTGCTCTTTAAGCTACTCATAAATGACTTGGGAGGGTGCAGACGGGGTGGGGAGGGGTGGGGGGGAATGCATCTCTTTACAAGTCAAGCTTAATTGGTTGGGTTGGCAGGTTTGCAGACTTTCATGTATTTAAATGTTTTCAGCTTTGATTGATTCAAAATTGCAAACTTTGTGAATAGCAAGCTCATAAAATGTTGCAGTGCTTCCCAGAAATGGAGAGTTTACCATATTCACTACTGAAAAAATAACAGGTTTTTCTGCCCAGCTCCTAAAATGATGTTTACTTGATGATTTGGCATGTTAACAGGGCAGATGGTACAGCTGTAGCAGCAGACCCGTTGGGTGAGTAACCACATAGCTGCAATTACCATGCCAGAAATCTAACTTGCAGGCTGTAAAGAGTATATAAGTGATAGACTATAGCTAAAAGCTCTATATAGTGTATACTATACAACCAGGTATAATGCAGGTCTTTTTCTAGGCTGTAAACAACAGGTGATTTCCCAGGCAGAAGAAGTAAGTAGACTGATAGCGAGCAGGCTGATATTCGGATAGATGCCTCAGTTGCCTGAGATACGTAGACTGGAAGTTCAGGGTTTTCTTGGAAGTGAAGTTGTATTGCTTTCTAATATGTAGCATAGAACATAAACATAATGGAAAACAAACCAAAGCAGTAATGTGTTGAATTCCTGAGCTCCTTGTCTCGCTGTCAAAGAAATCTCATTTTGTGGCACCAGATTTTTGTCCGTTGAACAGGAGTGAAACAAGTGGCTAAGAACAGTGAATTACCAACAGTCAACCAAAGCATGTTTCCCAGAGCAGCTGAAGTATAGCTTGTCTAAAAACTGTTACAGAGCCAAAAGTGACTTCAGTAGCAGACAGATGATTCATACAAAGGCGTGTAAAATCCCAAACCTGGCACTGTTTCAGAACACCTTGATGGAGCTCAGTTGCTTCTATTTATCTCTCCACCTGCTGAAACTAGCACTCTTGTTATAATAATAATAATAATTAAAAAAAGAAAAAAAAAATACAGCAGTGGTACCCAGAACAGTGTGGTCTAGAGGAAGGTATCTCCTAACCTTGCCACTGAGCTTCAGTGACTGTGAATTGTCAGAGCTGGCGGTCTGTTACAGGGAGCTCCGTTCCGTAAGGATGCTGTCTCTGAAACTCCAGCACGGATGGAGCGAGTGCATGGCAAGCCCTTGCAGCCCGGTGTTGCTTGAGAGCTCTGTTTAGTCTGTTTAGGAATGAAAGGGAAATGACTGTAGTAAGAATTCCATTGCTTGGTTTGTATTTATATTCTTGGTAATACAAGAAACTGATTAATATTCAGTGGTTTTTGTTTTTTTTTTTTTTTAAAAAAAATAAATCTGTGAATGCATGTGAAACTATTATCCCAAAAGGATTTTGCCGTCAAAACTTTGTTTGGACAAAAGGAAGAGAAGTTTAAATGCGTTTTCTTTCCTTGTAGGTGGTATGGTAGCTCTCAGTTATTAAATTAAGAGAAAAGGAACATGATAAGTGATTCTAAATGGCTACTAACAGCTTTGTTGTTTATCAGGTTAACTCTCTTTGCAAAAAAGCAAATAACAAACTCTTACTAAAAATCGCCTTCTGTCCCCTCTCCATCATCGTTTGACTCTTCCTCCATTTTTTGCTTTGTAACTATTACTCCTAGGTTTCTCGTGCGCAGCAGCAGATTATATGTCCGCTTGGTGATGTCTGTTTGTCTTCCTGCAGCGTCACGGCTCTTGCGAGCCCCCACGGAGCAGCCCCAGCCCGGCACAGATGACTCAGGGCCACTCCTTGCTGCTGTGGCAGGAACTGAAAGCGATAGCAGTGTTAAGGTTCACAAGTTCTATGTAATATCCAGGAAATAATGGTAACTGCCGCAAAGAAAGAACACAGCACTTTACTAGTTCCAGCTCTTCTGACTGCACTGTGAGCTCGTGAACATATCCCTCACTGGGGCCACGTATCCTACCATTTTTACCCTTTTCACACTCCTGTTGCTCGAAGTGTGTCACTTGGACATGTTCAGTCCTATAAATCCTTCCAGGACATCGACCTGGGAAATGAATTTGCTTTCACTTAACATCTCTGGTAGGATCTAGCCTCGTCGCATCCCACTAGAGTTTGAATCCAGATTCTGCTGTTGCAAAATGTGATCGTACATATTTGAATTGGAAGTTAAGCATTTGCTTTTGAGCACAAATACAGCTTGTTTGCAAGCCTGCTAGATATCCTGCATCAGAGCTGGAGAGGGAGAGAAGGTCCTATGATACTTTATCCAGGGTGATGCTAAAAATTAAATGTCGGTGCAGGTATTCTAACCCTGTGGGCTTTTGTCTTGAATTTCAGTCCAGGCACTGGTTTCTCCAGGTCTCTCTTTGTGTGCTTTTAGAAATGCCTTATTTCAGTTTTCCGGTATCCCTCCAGTAAAGTGCTCTTGCTGCAGACTTTATTGCACAGCGTGTGTGGTAATTTCTGAACCGAACAGTGCTGTGCACTGACAAAGGTGACGGTAGTACCCATTCTTCAGAGGTGAGATTGGGGGATCTTGTGCTGAAAATAATCTTGGTTTCCTTTTCTCTCTGCGTAGTTCTGCCTTCCTCATCTCCATTAGCCATCTCAGGCTGTGATATTTACCAAGACAGTTCAAGTTACCCAACTTCTTGTTGAATCTGTTCCTTTAATCCTCTTGGTGTATCCCCATTAACTCACATATACAGTGTAATGGTGTTATACCTCTTGTCTCATCATTAGAGCTCGCCGTCATCTGTTCTTCTTCCTGATGTACAGGTATTTTTGTCCTCCCACTTTTAAGCGCAAATGTAAAAATGTGGCATCAAATAACGTTAGTATGCTATACTAGAGGAGCGCTGACCTATGGCTCTAGGTACTACAGTGATCCGCTGGTTGGAGCTCTTTCCGTTCACCTGCAGCCTTTTGCTCAGCGTGTCTTGGTGGAAGAAACGTGTCCGTTGCTAAATATTTGCATTGCCAAAGTGCGGTGCCAAAGTCTGGGGTTGCTGCTCCGTTTCTGAACTGCCACATTTAGTGAATTCAGACCCTAGGGGTAATACTTACAGGAGTGAGGAAACTTAAAGTTAGCAGGGAATGTCTTTAAGCTGATGTTGCTGCTGTTACCGTGGTGTTTGTGCATCCTTTGCTGACCTTGCCCTCACCTTCCCCAGCCCCTCGCCTTGGAGTAGTAGTGCCAAGACCTTTTTTTAGGAATGCAAGAAAAGAACTGTGCTGTTGTCAAATGGGAATTATTTGGGGTTTTTGATGCATACATTGAAAGTACCTTTTCAGCTGCAGAGCTGGGAATTTATACTGCCTGTGTTTACATTATGCCACTGCGGTGCCTCGGCCAGCCCTGCTACCGGGTGGGCAAGGGGAGATGCGAGCCAGTGCCAGGGTCCTGTGCTGCTTTGCATCCTCAGGAATAAAACGAGTTACCTGCGGAGACAGACAGAGCACCGAAATACCTAGGGCTGGCTGGAATTGCAGGATAGAAGTGGTACTAGAGGCAACATGCTTTAGGTAAGAGAAATGCCCTTAAATGTTTACAGTGTTTACCAGAGAGCCCGGGTTGAGAAGTTACTTAAGCTTGTGGGTAAGTGCTTGGCTGAATTGAGTGTGGAGTGTCTCTGTGAAGTAAGGAGCTCTTGTCAGGGCAAAACAGTTAGAGCTCAAATGGTGTAAAATGAAAAACCAAAAAACTGCACAGAATTACCTACTCTATGAACACAGAGATGTGAATGAGATTTTCATTATTTTGTTATTTTAAATATTGTCCAGCCATGAAGAAAATTATTCCATCAACTGAAAAAGGCCAGGAGGGTATTACTGACTGTTCTTCAATGCACCGTTTTTAGAGGTGTAAGCAGATGCTCTCCAGAAGCCCTTACAGGGTCTGTCGCTGACACGTAGCAATGCCCCTTCGGAGCTGGGGGCCAGGAGGCAGCCTGTGGCTCATTGTGTATTTCACACTTCACAATCATTTAAGCTTCCTCTTTCATTTTATGAAATATTTTTATCTGTGATCAGCTAGTAACGTGTGTATTTGTTTGGGTTTGTTTTTTTTTAATCCTTGTTCTAATGACACCTTTCCAAATAAAAGCATTTGGCAGGGAGTGACTCCCTGTTCAGCCAGGATCCCAGCTCCGCCCTGGCGGGTACCAAACTGCAGTTTGAGCAGAGCAGCACAGCCTCGTTTCCCAGGCCCTGGCTGATGCGGTTTCCCCACGTCACCATCTCCTCTTCCAGCCGGGATGCCACAGCAGAGCTGGCTTGGCGCCCAGTCCTGAGCCCGGCATCCAGCTCAGCACCCGCCTGCCCCAAGGAGAGGTAGTGGCACTAAAGAAAACCAGTAGCAGGAGCTGAAGCAGCTCGTGTCTTTTCTATAGCCTTTGCCTTCTCTGGCTTTTTAAAGACATTTGCAAGAGGAAAGGTGTTTGCTTCTCTTGGAAAAAAAAAAAAAAAGAGGTTTGGATGCCTGAAACATGCTTTTTTTTTTTTTTTTAAAGAGGAAACATAAGGCAAGAATTAGCTGACTGCTCGCATGGCTGAGACTGGCAGTGGGTATGATGTAGCAAAAGATGTTTGAGAACAGCTGCCATTTCCTTAGTGTCTTGGTAACTTTATAAAACCCGATTGCCTTAACTGTTTTCTGAAGGCTACATCTTATTTAACACCCTGAATGTGTCAAGGGTTGTCCTACATACATTTACATTTTAGAGGACTGGATCATATAAGGAAGTTTGTGTAAGATGTGATATTGATACCTGCTCCATAGGAACTCTTTGGGACTCTTTCAAGGTGTGAGGTTTTTATCTTCTAGAACTATTTCAATCCATAGATATAACTAAAGTTTTCAGCTTAAAGTTTAAAAAAAAAAAAGCTGTGATTTTAAAATTTGTATTCTTGGCACTGTAACTGAAAAAAGTAGCAAGCATAAAAATAACCTCGAGTGCTATTTTTGTACAGTTGTGAACACTGTAGGAGTTCCCGACCATGCTCTGATCTTACTTACAAAGAAAAGGGGAAAAGTGGTGGTGTAACTGATGTGAAGCTGTAAAAATGAATAGTTTTTTTACCTGACTGCTAGGAGACCTGGCTTAAGGCATCTTTAAAGAGAAGGCCAAATTTTCACAGCTTCTTTCCTGTCTTAATGATTCTTCTACTTTAAACATAAATTCCACCCCCACCTCCCCATATAGGATAAGTTTTGTGGTGTGGGTTGTTTTTTTCCAGAGGATGCTGTTAACTTGGGACTATTGCCTTTGATGCTGAACAGATCTGTTTCTAATTTATTATTTCTATCTAAACTAGTTAAAGGCAACAGAGGAAACGCTTCTTTGCTATGTGCTTTTGTTCCATACGGTTACCTAGTTAAAACATAGCTTTAGAAAATAGACCGTAAAATTGTCCATCCTCATCGTGCACTGGGGTTTAATGGACAAGCTGTATATTAGAAGCAGCCTGTTATATCTTAACTCAACTTACTTACAGCAGTTAAATGGTTCTTTGGTTTTGTTAAGGTGTCTTTCACCTTCTGGATCAACACTAAGCATCCCCTATCAATTACCTTTTAAGTGTTTCCTTCTGTTACGCTACTGTAAGCATGTTTTATGTTTGTCTGCAACAGATCTGTGTTATGCCTGTGATTGAAACTATCTTGAGCGCAAATAGTATTTTTTATTATAGACTCCCCTTGACTGGACCGTGGCGCGCGCTTACCGATGTTAACGTCACTCTGTTGTACCAAAGTACCTGTGGCTTCAAAACATACCGTCAACTGATTCACTGGTGGCTGGGTTTGTGTAATACAGCTGAGGAATGTATCCTGTGACTCAGTTTCTGCACTGTTATTTTCAGAATAAAAGTATGTTTTTCAATCCGGTGTCTCAGCTGTTTTTGGCAGGGGGGGAAGCAGAGGCTACTCCCCAAGAGGTACAGCCTAGTTAGGCAGCGTAACACAGGAA